TCAGGAAGTTGTCTCCTGTGCCAATGAGTTCAAGGCTCTTCCCCACTTTTTCTTCTAAGCAGTTTAGTGTGTCTAGTTTTATTTTGAGGTGTTTGATCCACTTGGATTTTAGTTTTGTGCAGGGTGATAAGTATGGATCTATTTGCATTTTTCTACATGTAGATAGGAACAGGGACTGTCTCTGACACGAACTGATTGGTCTGCTCTTTAATTACCTCCCCCTGAGGGGGAAGCAGCATTACCAGGCCACAGAAGAGGACAAGGCAGCCACTCCTGCTGAGACCTAATTGACTAGGATCAGAAGGAAGAAAAAGAAGTCCTCCCCTATCAGTGGACTTGGGGAGGGGCATGCGTGCAGAGGGTGAAGGAAGGGAGGTATTGGGATGGGAGGAGGGAGGGAACCGCGGGGGGGGGGAGATACAAAGTGAGTAAAGTGTAATTAATAAAGAAAAATAAAATAAAATAAATTTAAAAAAATTGGAAAATGCTTGTCACTGTTTGGGGCTCAATATTTATACATTTTCAAGAACAAACAAACAAACACTGACAGATAGCACAGAATCAACAGACTTATTCAAAGCAGAAAATTCTCAGGAAAACCCGTAACATCCAACAAACACTTAAAAGGAAAAAAGGACATATCATTTGAGGCAAAGACTGATTTTCCTATACTTGTGGTCCAAAATACTTTTGAATAAAAAAGTATCAATTGGTAGAAGGTTATAAAAATATTAAAATGTTGGGGGCTGGTGAGATTGGTCAATAGGTAAAGATACTCTCTACCAAGCCTGATTCAATTTTTTAATCCAGTCCCCTAAAAACTACATGGTAGAAAGAAAGAAACAATTCCCTTTAGCTGCTTCTGACCTCCAAGTAAATGTGGACACACACACACACACACACACACACACACACACACACACACACATACACTAAATGTAATTAAAGTTTAAGCAGTGTAATATGGTAGTTATTTAATATAGTTTAAATGAAATTTTCCCATGTTGTCCTGACAATGTTCTCCCAAGATGTGAAGCCATCTAAGAAATACCCCAACACCAGCCTGAGACGCCCTCTTCTGAGGTATTGGTCAGGGTTTTTAAAAACTCCTAAAACATTACAAGCTATAGCCTTTGGTTGGTCCTCCAGAGAGTTAAGTCCCTAAACTGAAAAAATGTCATGCGGTTCAGACTGAGGTGCCAGAGGCCTCAGAGAGCAGGAACTAACCCAAATGAAAGCTACTCAAGGTTAGCTTTCATAGTACCAGAAGGTGCCATGAAAACTTCCAAATGAGGGAGGTGGCTGAGAGTCTTGCCCAGATATGATGCTTATGAAACACAAATAACAAGCATAGAGTGATAACCCTCAGGCTGCAGCAGGGACACACATGTCTTTTGTTTGATTTGTTTTGTTTTATTTTTTGAGACAGTTTTTTTCTGTGTAGCCTTGGCTGTACTTTGTATATGAGGCTGGCCTCAAACTCACAGCAATCCTCCTGCCTCTGCCTCCCTGAGTTCTGGGATTAAAGGTGAGCACCACCACACCTGGCTGTGACATACATATCTTGGCAGTAACCAATAGCTATGTAACTGGCCTTAAGACCCACTCAACAAGAGGAAAATCTTGCCACCCACCCAGAGCTAGTAAAGTCATGGATCTTGAAGAAGATCCTACAACCACTACTTTAGCAAAATAGAATAAGCTCTAACCACATTATAACTATGCATCCTTAAACCCAAAGATAAATGTAGTCCTCACTCCTCAACAAGGAAACTTGTTTTTGCAACAGATGGAGACCACTACAGAAAACCACAACCAATCAAAATGCAGAATTGTGGAGACTGGGGACATTGGATATGTCTGCAAAGTAACTCCTCATCTAAGGCTCAGAAATAATTGTGGGGGAAGAAATAACGTTAAGAGCCAAATGACCAGAGAGTTTGACATGAGAGTTTGTCTCCTAGTAATATCAGAAGGTATACTCATAAAATCTTACCAACATGACTGCCTAAACTGAGATGAACATGAGCTGAACAAGGACAACAGTAGAAATAACAAAGTTGTGGAGAAAAGCCTACAAGGCCTCATTCCCACAAGGACCTAAAAGAAATTAAGAAATGGTGAGAGTGAGAGAAACAGTCTTCTCCAATTAGTGCTATCTAATACCTGAAAACATACAAAGAAGTAACATTATAGAGACTGAGTAGGTCCAATTTATGTGCACACACACACGTGCAGCTGTGTGCACCCATGTAACAACAATTAATGAAAAAATGGGCCATAAATTTGAAAGAATGCAAGAAGTGGTATATGAGAAGGTTTGAAGGTAGGAGAACAAACGGGGAAATGTAATAATACTACAATCTCAAAGGTGAAAAAAGAGACTAAATAACAAATATTTTTGTGCACATATATATGAATGTGCATGATTTTGCAGGAGGCCAGAAGAGGCGTCTATGGAGCTGGGGTTAATGTCATTTACTGTAAGCCTCTTGACAGGGTCTGGCACCTGAGTTTGAGTCCTCTCTGCTAAGCAGCAAATGCTTTTAACCACTGAACTCTTTTGCCAGTCCTATTTTTGGGGGGGGGGGGAAACCCAACAATGTAGGTACCAAAAGCAGGGTGGATCAGAAGGAATATGACATGGAAGAGAAAAGGGCAAACAGGTAGTAGAAGTTGTGCAATGTCAATTCTAGATCAGGAAGCAAAGAAACAGTTCATGAATAGGATGCTCAGCAAACAGCGGGCGTATTTGAAAAGTTTCGTAAGCAAGGGAAAGATTGCAAAGTACTGGACACAGGTGAAAGTAGGCAACAAGAATCCCAGTCATGTGAGAGAGAAACTGGGCTTTTGATCTACTTGTGTAATTTTGGTCTCACTGGGGGTCAAGATGTGTCACTTGACACAGGTTTTTTCAGTTCTCAGAAAATTAAGTAAACACTGGAGCTATCAACACTGGAGCCAAAATACTAAACTCCAGGGCTATTGCCATTGATTTGTGTACATTATAAATCAATAGTGTTCAAAACTAGAAAGCTATGGTTACGACATCAGATATATTTTAATCCCCAAATCCTAAATAGTCCCTTTAGGAATATGTCATCCCTAATGCATCAGGGATGGAAGTAATGGAATTAGATATGGTGGCACCTGCCTGTAATAGAAACACTTGAAATGTAAAAGGAAGGAGCCTCATGAATCTGGGGCCAACTTTAATAAAAATTGTAAATTTCTATCTCACAATAAGTAATTAAGAGCTAAAGATATAGTTCAGTGCTAAAGCACTTGTTCATCATGTGCAAGACCCTGGGTCCTGGCAGTTCGAACAAGCCACAGAAAGCCACCCATCCTGAACACACCAACCAAAGAGTCAAATAGTAATGGTTAAAAAAAAAACCACAGAGAAACAGAAAAAGAATGTGTATTTAATGTGACCACATTGGGGAGAAGAAAAAGTAGACAGTTCTACGGATGCCTCCAAGTCTCTTTGGGATAGTGAGCATATGGTTTAGGTTCAAATAGAGGGCAAGAGGTATGCATAACTAACTGAGCAGTCCTGGTTAAGGTGTGGCCCTGCCCATCATTGTCTCTGTTCCTGTTTCTCCTGGAGCAAGGTGATATGTTAAGTTTGTCAGAGCTGTGTGAAATTTCTTCCTAGAAGACAAATTCTTCTCTGGCTGACAAAGGCTTCGCCCTTTCCTTTTCCCAACATAAGATTCCAAGATAAATTTCAATTTATCTAGGAATTTAAAAAATTAGTATTTTAGGCAGATGGAGTGCCACAAATATCTTCCTTTGGAATAGCTTCACTCTTGCCAAGATGGGTCTGGAGATTATCAATTCTGCAGGTGTGTGTGTAAACACCTAAGAAGATATTGAATGGATGTGAGTTCTTATAAAAGTATGAATGTTATATCAAACCATCCTTAATTTACCAGTAGTAGTTTTAGTGATCGGAAAAGAATTTTGGGGAAAAAATAAAAATAAAAAAACCTCCACTGTTTTTGAGTCTTTGGATCCCTACCCTGCAGAGATTCTGGAACTATGTAAGTAAAGGCATGTCTAACAAGGTTCTGCTAGAACTTAAACTTCCAATGTTTTGTAACTACTAAGGAAAGATCATCCTGAGTGAGGTAACCTAGATTTGTCTACCTGATTCTAGGCCATCTAGGGATATACAGGCCCTATCACAAATAAAACTTGTAACAAACTTAAAAGCATTTTTCAATGTGATTATGGTTTGGGGAAACATGAATAGCGTTATCATTTAGGCTTATGTTTCACATTTAAGAACATTTTTTTTGCCAGATAAACACATTAATTAAACCAGCATTTTTTAATTTTTTAAAATATTTAATTTTTTAAAATATTATTTTATTAGGAGTTCCTCCATATACTTTAGTTATTTCATCACAAACATATCAAAACTTTATTTTGGGCCATGGATTTTAATCTATCAACTATATAGTTTCTATAACTACCTGATATCCAAAATGTTAATACTATTTAGCATTGCAGATTTTAAGATAGAATTTTAACAAAAAATTCTATATATATAGAGGTTTTAATAGAGCAATGTCATAATCTTTCAAAAACATTTCCAAGATCTTATATTTAAATGGCTTATTGTTCCTTGGTAAAACTTTGGTGTTTACATATTTATCTATCTAAAAAAAAAAAACTAATACAAATATAATGATTTATTGGATAAGGGCCAAAAACCACTACTTGAGCCAATCTTCAAAATTAAATACTGAGGATAGAGAGGATCAAAGCAACCACTAAGCTGGATTACCTAATTTAACCTCTCCATTTAGCATTCTTTAACATTGTTTATCATGTATTAACATTTTATACTGATTGTCTTAAATGCTCTTGTCATTACATTGTTAAACTGACCTTTGGAATCTAAATCATCTCACTTCTCTTTGCCTTATCAACCTATGCTTATATTCAAAGCCCATCCCAAAGTATATTTATCTTTCTTCTTTTTTCCACAGCTGTTTTGTGAAAGTGAAAAGGTGATACACAGCACAGAGGGTGTGGACTGGGAAGAAAGAAATGTTCCAGGAACATTGGTTGGACACTCAAGGATTACCAATCCTCTGCGTCTATTTGTTAAACGGGCTCCAGGGCCAAAGCCAGCATATGCAGACAGCATGGAAAGCTTTTGGGACTGGCTGACCAATATCACAGAGATTCAGGAGCCACTGGCAAGAACTAAAAGACGGCCAATAGTGAAAACAGGAAAATTTAAGAAAATGTTTGGGTGGGGTGACTTCCATTCTAACATTAAAACTGTCAAACTTAACCTGCTCATCACAGGGAAAATTGTTGATCATGGAAATGGAACTTTCAGTGTTTATTTCCGACATAATTCGACAGGTCTGGGCAATATTTCAGTGAGCTTGGTACCTCCCTCTAAAGCAGTGGAATTTGAAGTAGCCCCCCAATCTACCTTGGAGACTAAGGAATCCAAATCTTTCAACTGCCATATTGAGTATGAAAAAACAGACCGGGCAAAGAAGACCGCTTTGTGCAATTTCGACCCATCCAAGATCTGCTACCAGGAGCAGACTCAGAGTCATGTGTCCTGGTTATGTTCCAAACCCTTCAAGGTCATCTGCATTTACATTGCCTTTTACAGTGTTGATTATAAACTTGTACAAAAGGTTTGTCCTGACTACAATTACCATAGTGAGACACCATACTTATCTTCTGGATGAATCTTTTCTCAGTTAATAGAAATATAATACTCTTGTCAATTTACCTAGGATGCCCAAGAAACAGGCCCAGCTTTTCATGGCAAAGGATCCCTTCTATTTCTGGCAGTGGCTTATAATTCTTTGTCCAGTTTCCAAATTAAAAAAAAAAGTCAAATGTGAAGTGCATTTGTTTTGGTGATAAGTACCTTTATTTAAAAAGTCAAACTGATTATGAAACCATCATTTTTCTGTGCAATGGTAACATTCTGGAAATGTTACTTCTCTGTAAGAAGCATCAGCAGTAGCTGTATGTGAAGGGAATAATCAAATTATGCATGTAATAAGCATTGCTCTTCAATGAGCCTGCCTTTGAAATGTTTTGGAAGGTTTTCATAGAGTAGGTTCAGTAAAGTATCTGAAAGATGGTATTTAATAGATGGATTGTGTTTCTGGTGTTGAACACATTTTAAACTTCCTATCTCTTCAATTGGTGTCAGTTTTAATAGCTGCAATATCAGGAGAACCAAACACACTAATGAGGTTGATGCATGCTACTATTACGATTCTCATCTGAGTGATATTGGAATGAACTTTTTGGGTATTAGATTAGCAAATGTGGGTCTAAGTCAACTCAACAGTAATGAAGATGATGATGTTTTATACACTTCAGTGATGCAAAATTATTTTTTAAAGTTTTATTTAAATTAAAATTTAGGACTTCATTCCCTTCATTTGACAGTCTGACTTTATCTATATTTGTGGAACAATTCTAAAACTGAAAGAAGCTGTTTCTGTGCAGAAAATTCCACAGTTATGGGCTCATTATTGTAGTCCCTCAGATTAAGATTTCCTTTGTGTTTAGGTAATGAGAATAAGAATTCTGAGTGGAAATAATGAGTTACATTTGATTGTCCCCAAATGTTAAATGCTGATTTCTGCAATCCCTGAGACTGAGCTTTTGAAATTACTTTACTCTGTGTCCTCATCTTCTAGAAGAGTTGGTGGCCATGTTTATGATGTAACTTTACACTGTATGAGAGCAGTCAAAGGGAAGAAGTCTTCTAGGACCTGTGGGTGCTCTCCTTGTAGCTGATGTTAACTTCTTTCTCACTTCTCATCTGTACAATATCAGTAAAGTAAAATACTCAAAGAGGACTCACCGCAGGTAAGTCCTAACCAACAAATATGCTCTTATTACACTGTTAAGAAAGCTAAGAGCTTTGTTCTCTATTTCACATTCCTATTCTGTTCTTTTCCTGGTGATATCTGTAGTGTCTTATTTTGTCTTTGTACAGGTTGCGCTAGGCTTAGTATGTGGTAGTCCATGCTTGAAGTTTCTCCTTTGAAATCATTGGGTGTTTTTGTGATTTTATTGTTGGTAAATAATATTTTGAGACAACTTTTTATGTCCGTCTTGAAACATGAGTAAATACTATTTATTGTAAAATATGTGGAAATGTGTACTTATAATTTTCTGTATACATTTTTTCTGTATGCATTTTTATGTAAATAAAATAATTTGCTAGTTTGGCACATGACTCTAGGTAGTTGTTTGTTTTATTAAAGAGTTTTTTCATTTTCTTTATTCCTCACATAGTTTTATTCTGTCTCTCTCATTTTCTGTTGTATATGTTTGTAACATCAATTAAATATTAAGATTTTCCTTGTATATACATTAATTAGGACAGGATGGATATGTGGCTTATCGAATAAATAGTAACTCATGTAAAGCTGATAGCACATGGTCTGACATCAAGTAAAAAAATCTCTGTAGGTGCAGCTGCTGTTCTAATGGTGTTGTTCAAAACATAAAATTAGATTATAAATTAAATGATATTGAAATGCTGAGAAATAAATATTTTTATGCAAAGAAATAAATTGCAAATCAATTTTTGCAGTTCTTCAGTTCAAGCAGGATTTGTGACTTTTTTCAAGTTTTCACAGGCATATTTTTAAAGTGATATAGAACATATGCCACATCTATTTCTAAGTCCTAACTTCATTTCAAACTACATGATCATCAGTGATAAAACTTGGCATATTATAATTCAGATACCATTTAAACATGAAAATGCACACATTCCTATAAAAACATTGTTATTTTTTAGTACTAAATTAAGTAAAAAGACGTCATATAATTAAGTTTCTGATGTAAGAACAAACTATATACAAATTAAGAAATAAAACCTTTAAAATTTTAGTGTTAAGCTAGAAGGGAAATTAATAGTAGCATAAGAAAAAGGATACTTCAAAAAGGGCACTGTTAGCTGTCATCTGTATGTGTGAGAAGACAGTTATACCACATCTCCAAGATAGAAAATAAATGACAAGCCTAGTTAAAATGCCTTCCTACTGATTACTAAGGAGACAGATAATTAAACAAAAAATTATAACAGATTTATGGAAGACATGGCCCCCAAACAGAAAAATTTGTATGAAATGATATTCAAAATATTCTCCATCTAAAATCTTTAGAATTATCATTTCCCTATGAATTCAATGTTTTTAAATAAAGGGAGCAAGCATGGGAAAGGAAAGTCTTAAAAATACAAGGACCTGGCTAGAGAGATGGCTAAGCCATTAAAGGCTAGGCTCACAACCAAAAAAAAAAAAAAAAAAAAACCAACAACAACAACAACAAGGACCTCTCCTGCTGAGTCTTGAAGGGCAGCTGCAATCTTTGCCTCTCTACTCATTGAGACGGACTTCTTGTGTCATTCTAAAAGCTATTCACTCTTTTTAAAATTCTGTAGATTATAGGTTAGTTGAATCCTAGAAGATTTTTTTCTTTTAAAATATATATGTATCTTCCACTTTTTAAAATTAGGTTTGATCACGTTATCTGCTTTGGTCACGTGGATCTGAGCAATTTTGACATTTATGCTATAAAAATAAACTCTTTGTGTGTTGTGTGTCGGACATTCCCAGGAAGGACACAACACGCATGCATGCTCACCACGGAACAATTGCACCAATGTCTGATTAGGTGAATCAATGAGCTTTCATTGCGGTTACTGACAGGGACCTCGTGAGTGCAGGGTCACTTACGAGGAGCAGGGATCACTCTAATGCAGATACATTACCAGAAAGCTCCCATCACATGAGTAATGACTCCTGACAACTACCTGGATCTCTCTACAACTTGCAGGCAGCTTCGCAGTCTCGGTATCTCTTTCTGAAATTTTTCTTCTCAGAGCCTCCACTCCTAGCACTCCTTTTTATACTGCATGGTAGAAGCCCTCAATAAACAACCAAACAACCAATCAAACAAAGAAACAACCTGCCATAAGTTCAGTGCATGTTATAATGAATGAAATAAGCAAACCACACAAATATACACCAGAAGGAATGGAGGTATCTCAGTGTACAGCACATGCTTAGTCTGTGTGAAGCTTTCGCACCACAAACAAATCTATGACAAAGATGACTGCTTGAACCACCAGTTATGTTGGCTAGCCACAGACCACCTGACATGGTAGTTTTTCATTCCTAATATTTTAGCTTGTGTGCTAATTACCAAAACCTTAACAGATCCAACCTATGTGCCCCACCTTGTTTTTTTCCAGAGAACTGTTTCCAGGGCTCCTGTAGTATAATGACATTTGACTACACATAGGCTTTGGGATCAGAACATGTTACATCTTTCCACCATGCTTTCAGTTTCTGCCATACATATATACAGTAAAAACTGTTCAACACCATATCAATTTCTTGCATTTGTCACATACAATGTTACTAGGGAAGAGAAGCTGGGTCAAAGGACTACGTAAGGAGACTATCACAGCAAAGCAAAACAAAAACCCCTAAGAGGACTGAAGTTACAGTGTTTGCCTAGTATGTACAAAAACTTTGGATTTACTGTTCGGTACAAGACCATTATAGTGCTTAACAGTTATAGATCAACAACAGAAAAATTTCACCTGCCATTTGGGAGGTGCAGGCATCCTTTGCTATATAGTTAACTTTCTTTGTTACATAATTAGTTTGAGGCTAGGCTGGGCTGTGAGACTATTTCTCAGAAATAAACCAACCTTTCAACCCCCAACCCTTAAAAAAATCACTAGAGAGGTTGTAGAGAAAGGAGAACCCTCCTTCACTGCTGGTGGGAATGTAAACTTGTACAACCATTCTGGAAATCAATCTGGTGCTTCCTCAGACAGTTCTAGGAATAGAATATAGATACGGTAAAAATGGAGCCATTTTATCCAATGATACTCCTGGCTTAGAATTACTGTCAATAGAACATTTCATTTGAAGGTTTTAAAAGCTTAAAGTACCTGAAACTGTATTTTCTAGAAACTGTTAAATTGTATGAAATAACTTTATTGCCTAAAGCTCTAGTTTTACCTCATAAAAAAATAATAAATTGATTGTCTAACCTATTGACCAGAGAATAGATTCATGAATTTTACTTGCAGTAAAATAATAGTTAACCCTAAAATAGTTAATGACACCATCAATGAGTAAAATTACCCGCTGGAGGTTGGTCTGATGCATGTTACTAGCTCACAAGATCTGGTTACACTATCCGTGTTGTGTAAAACTATCTGATTGGCTAATTAAATGGACTCTCCTTGGGCAGGGCAGAAGGGCTAAGGTTCCCCAGCTTTTGGGTTCAAGAGAGAATCACGGGGGAAGGGCGGGGGGGGGAGAGGCAGACGGGAAACAAGGCAGCAAGAGGCTGCCATGATGGGTTAGCGTGGAGAAGGAACCTCATGGGACTGAAGAAAGGACTCCAGTGACGGTGTGGAAAGGCCCAGATGAAGAATATAAGCAACTACCATGGGATTATGGATAAAAGGTAGTCCATTTGAGGAGGACTAAGGTAGATGGCATTGGATGGGGGCTGGGAAATGGATGAGGATATTGAGACCGTGTATGTGAAATATCTGCCCAGCCCAAGGTATATACGGCAATTATAAATCTAACAGGTGTCTGTGTCTTATTATTTGTGGTAGAGGGTTAAATAATACCATTATGATAATCTTAGGGAGAGTAATAAACATTTAATGGCCCAACAG